TTGTGCAGGTAAATTAGCTTGGAGAAATTTTTGCGTTGTAGTAGTGTATGGTTGTGCGTGTTTCCACTTTCCACTATCAAGTGACGATTTTTTGCTTTAGATTGAAATATCTCGGAAACGGTACGTCCTAGGCCAAAAATAACAAAAATTTTGACCCCCCCCCCCCCCCCCCGTAGACCCCCCGGAGTTTTAAAAACCTAGATGAAAGGAAACAAAAAAAAATATTTAAATATCGATCTCTCCTCTTTGAAGTTTCACTTCTATCGTGTGTGAATCGCACACACACCTTTTTTTTTATAAAGTCAAAACCTTTTTCTTTAAAATAAAAACTTGTTTTTATTGAAAACAAAAATCAGAGTGTTGCTAGGGATAAGTATAAAATTAAATAGTAATGTTAGGATATCGAAACATTTTTGTATAGGCCAGAACGATATAGTGGAAACGCGCTCTAAGATCTGAGTAATATACACACCACTACATATGCAAAAATTTCTCGAGACTAATTTCACTGTAGTCATTCTTTGAAAACGCGTTATAAGTTTTTAAAACGCGATATAAGTTTTATTTTTAAATTAATATTACTTTAAATAAAAGTTGCATAAGTAATTACATAATAAAAGTTCTACATTTGGAGTTAAACACAATAGTCAAATTAAGTCATTTTTGCAGTGTTTGAACAAAACAAAGTTACGTTTCCACTTTTAGAATATCTATATCGGTGTCGAAAGGTATTTACAGAACAAGATATTGCTTGTCGGGTTGTGTTTTGTCAACAGACAACGAGATTGCGGCTTTTCCGCCCTAAATACTAACTAATACTACACTCCTCTAACAATTTAATGTTAAATATCAGTGCAATTCACTAGGGTTAACATATTACCGCCATATTATTATAACATATTTGGTATTATATAGTAATATGTTACTAATTAACGTGCTATTTATACTAACATTATAAATGCAAAAGTGTATCTGTCTGTTTGTCCATCTGTCTCTCTGTGAAATTTGGTATAGCGATCGTTTGAAGCTCAGGAAAGGACATAGGATAGTTTTTTTCCAGAAATCACCCTTTAAGGAGGTGAAAGGGGGAGTAGAAGTTTGTATGGGACATCAATAACCGCTAAACCGATTTTAATGATTCGGCATGGAGAGACTTTGATTCTTGACGTATGTGTCAAGAATCAAAGTCTTTCGTTGCCGAATCATTAAAATATTTGTCACGTAGCAGGCGAAGCCGCGGGAAAAAGCTAGTTGCATAAAATCTACTATTTCCTTTGTAAGTAGGACTATTCCAAAGATTTTTAAAGTGTGTTTTTACTACCTTCGTCATACTGTTTTATATCATAAGCACTATCTAGTGACTGTTTTGTGATTTCACAATGTCTTAGCTATAAAAAGGTTTCTTTGATAATTCTTTGCTCTAATAATGTTTCTTTATACCTGATGCGTTTTCGCTTAGCCAAACTAGGGCTTAATTTGTGACCACAATCAATTGAAAAAATATTACACCATTCATTCATTATAATTTTAGATCCATATCCAGTATTTATTCAGCTAGCTAACAAGCTAGTTAAGCTAGTGCCCGCGACTTCGTTCGCGTGGAATTTGAAAAGCGCTGCCTTAGTGAGTTCGATTCCCGGACCAGGCATAACTTTACAGGGTTTTTCTGAGAGAAAAAGTAGCCTAAGTTAGTCCTTCTATAGACAACTACTTGGTAGTAAAATATTATCAAAATCGGTCCAGCCGTTTTGGAGATTACCCGGAACAAACAGACGGACAGACAGACAAAAAATATTTGAACTGGTTTGTAGGCATAGGTTTCGTGTAGATAACCGTGTAAGCATGAAAAAAACGTATTATTTAGGTATTACAAACAGACACTTCAATTTTATTTATTTTTATAGATGTTGCATGCCGAAATGATTTAAATGCTTCAAAAGAATATTTAATAGATAGAGAACTCAATATCTCTACCAATTTATTTTGTCATTTATTTCCACGCCTACAATTCAATTTTTACATAATTGAGAATAATACCGTTTAGTGATCGTTTTTCGATTGTTAATGAATTTTATACTCTACTAATTTCTAGCTATAGCAGCTATTTATAGCTATATTAAACTTACTATTTCTCATAATTTGATTTGTTGGACGTACTATTTAAATTTTAAAGAAAAACGATATTACATGATTTTACAGTGTAATTAAGTATTGTGGTAGGTAACAAGACCGAAGTACCTATATGTGTTCTACTAACAAAATCATAACTTACAAGTTTTTCTGAAAAAGTTAATAAAAGTACAATGAGAAGCATTAAATTATTACATGATACGAACCATTAGACAGATTGTAGATTGCGCTGTAAAGTTGTTACAATAAAAGTACATCCCATTACAGTTATAACAGGATCCTTTATCGGAATTTTTCGTAGTTAAAACTCATTTTATGAATTATTACCTCCTATGCTATTTACTTTAAAAAAAGTTAAACGATTTTATAAAACATTTGATAACAGCTTTTGCCCGCAGCTCCGCCCGTGTGTATGTTATGTGTGGTGTGATAAACTGATAATGCAGCTTTCCATTGGTGTTTTTTTTTAAATCGGTTTAGTTGTTTAGGCGTGAAAGCATAACAAACCAACTTACTTTCACATTTATAATTCAAGTATGTATTAGCATCTACCCGCGGCTCTGCCGAAAACACTACATTTATTTGGACTGGCTACTTTTTGTAGCCTTTTTTTTTTTTTTTTTTCCGTGCGGAAATCCCCTCGGATACCACCTGTCGGTGGCATGTCGGACACGAACCGACTAAAACCGCACGCCGTCGCCGGGTACTAATAGCCGGGGAACCAGGTATACCCTAGAAAGACTTTTTGTAGCCTATGTGCTCTTCCAATTTCCATCCAGATCCGTTCACCCGTTTTTGAGTTAAGGAGTAACAAAGATCCATACAAACTTTGATACTCGAAAAAATGACATTGTGTTAAAAATAAGTAAATTTTATTAATGATTGGCCGACCAGTTAAAATAAATGTTAATTTCTGTTAACTGGTCGGTCATGTACTACGCCGACTCGCTCGCAAGTTGCACGTTTAATTGTTCTTTAAGTTAATCATTGTAATAAATTGCTTTGATAAATGATATTACAGCATTTATTGAGAATAAAGGCCCTGAATTTTACTGTCCGAAGCTTTTCTCGATGTTGCAATTCTGATCGTAAATATAAATTCATAAGCGATTGAATTAACTTCCACTGTGATTAAAATGAATTATGATATTTTACTTTCTGAAAATATAATACATTAAGTAGTAAGTACGACAATTCACTAGTTATCATTACTTTCACAGTAATTGTGCAACTATTGAAAATATTTAAATGAAATATGAAATATGAAATATGAAATTTTGGCATGTATCGTATTACGCTAACTGTTTTAAAATTTTAATCCGCAAATGATAAACAACGCTATCAAAATTCAAAACATTTATACAAAAATTTAAACGCAATATAATCGGTCTATTTCATTTTACTTTATCACAATGATAACTGGACAAACATAGGATTCGACGTGGTGGTCTAAAACGCATAATAACATAAATTCGCAGAACCTTATCATCCAGTCATAAGTTCCTAAACAAACTTTAAATATTTACATTCGAAGTTGTATTCGATGTTGACTCAACGTATGTGTATGATTCCTTAGGGATTAGTATTTATTTAGGTGTTAAGAAAATACGTGACACTCATCTATATTCCGCTCAATGCTATTAAATCGTGAATGTATTTTTATTGACGTTGCGTTGCGTTTTTGTTTTTGAGATCTTCTCTAGTTAAGCGACTTTTCACAAAAGTGTTTTATTCAAGGTTAATATAAAATTTATTTAAGCAACTGAGTACTTTTTTAGATGACTATAACAAACTTATCACTTCTATTATTAATATTTAAGGGGTGTTATAAGTTCTACGTTAGTATCTGCATCTTACCTCCTAAGCGACTGCTTTCATTTTGATTTTTTTGGAAGGTAACTTGACCAAAACTGCTCAACTGCTACATAATTCGAAGAAACTTGTTTTCCTGTTCGAAGATCACATCTGTTTTCTAATAATTAATTAACCTCTCATTTTTATACACCTAAATGGGTAATCAAACAAACTGCGTACCAATAGTAAGTTGGTAAAATAAAGCCAAGGGGTTCAGAATAAAAGAAAAATAGCTAACAAAAATAGTGGCTGCTAATAAATGAATTTCAATTTCCTATATTCTAATATATAGCATATGTCATCACTTGACCTATACACACTAAAATGTAAAAATATATATATAATAAATATATTATTATTATTTAATTTTCTTTTGAGTATAAGTCCAAATGTTCTCTCGTCTGCAAAATGTGAAGGTTTCATATGCCTCTCTATGTTTTTTCGTTTCACCTAACTGTTTAGCCTGTTTATTTTCGTAAACTTAACTATAGTTCCTGAATAGTTTAGGCTTTGAATGCAAATTGTAATTTTTTTTTAATACACCATTAACACATTTCAAGTTAACGTTGTTTCAAAATATCTTACTAATTACTTCAAACAAAACCTACCCTCTAAGCTAACAGTTTTATGAGCGTCACCTTAGTTTACATCTTATCTTACATCTTATCTTATATGTATATACTTTTATATGATGCATCATGAATTTGCCTTCTATGGTATGGAATAAATTAGAGCTTCGTATGAACTAAATTTAGAAATATATATTGTTAAAACCTTGTTATTTATATACATTTTGTTAATTTCTTCAATAAACTAACAATAGCAATGAAATATTTAAGAAATTGTTATGTGCAATTTAAGTTCTAGGGTATTTCATCAAATCACAAGAAAGTGTCTTGCAATCTTTAAACAATTTACTAAAGTATTTTTGTCTATCATAATTAATCTTTATTATATTCTCTTAAAAACGACGCAAACCACCATTTGATCAATAACAAATCTTTCCTTTGTTACAGACATGGTTTTTCACCGACACAGAAAACCGCCAACATCAAAATCAAACGAGTAAGTCAAAACTTTTGCAAACTTAAATAATATTATGACAAAACAAGACATTCTCTTCTATTTTAGACTTTATTCGTTTGTAATAAGAAATATTTGTTGACAGACGGTCACATGGTAAACACGAACTGTTCTGCCTCGCATCAGCGAAAACATCTCTGCTGTAAAATGTCCGTGGAATACGATCGTTTCCTTGAAAGCGGTAAAAAGTAAGTATCATTAATTTTCAAACTTTAATGAAATTTTATTTATTGCATTTTCATTTCTATTTTTCTCAGAAGAAGGATTTTATTTGTACGCTATTATTTTTATTTGGTACATTTCAAAATTTATTGATTTGTGCTCTGGAAAATATTACTGCTTTAATGTTTTGATCGTTTTATATTTCGAAAACAAATAAAAGGTATGACTAGATGAAATTGTTTTCCTACAATTCTACAGAATATCCAGTTTAATTGTCTTTTAACTGAATTCAATAAAAAAACATGTAAAACTACTTTTGTGCGCTTCAAGAAAAGAGCGTACTCCTTCCTAAAGGGCTGGCAACGCGTTTGTGACTCCTGAGTTGCAGACGTTCGTGGGCGGCGATGCATAACTAAATCCATAACTTACTACATATACACATATTGGCTTTACGTGAACATCGGTTTTGCATACCGCTTCGGACACAATGGTGATAGACAGATATCAGCATCATTATAGCTTAATTGCAAACTGACATAATTTGATAGGAATACAATTATATATTGATTGATAAATGAAAAAAAAGTAAGATAAAACAATTTCGATAAAAAGTATATTATCGAATAAATATTTTATGGACGACTGGTATTGGTTAATTGCATATTATATCCGTCGTTCTCAAATTAATGAAAGCCTTTATACATACACAATTATGGCCTTTTTTTTTTTTTTTTTCTTTTTCACGCGGGGAATGCTTTTCGCACCATACCCTCCGTTGGGGAAACGTAGGGCGTGTGTGGGACTCCCGGAGAACCGGTCTACCCACTAAACCCCGCGGCGGCCTACCTCGGCAGTCGGGAGGAGCTCCAGGAACGCATCGGCGACTTCTGGAGTCCTCTCTGCCGTACCTCATGTCTGAGGCACATCCCGGAGTGATCGAAGTCACCCTGGGGCAGGACGCTACCGCACCTCTCACTGTTCTACAGAGTAAAAGGCGCAACAGCATCCCGCCTTAGACGACAGCCCCCGGCCGCACCGGAGTGTCATCTGTCTCGGGTCGTTTACAGCGGTCACATCGCCCCAAGATGTGGCCGCAGCGACCCTTAGGCGGCGATTGGGGAGTTAGCGACCTCTGCCACGTCCCCTTCGCCGCCTCCTTCGAGCGGGATCGGCCCTCTCCCGATCCCGCTCTGCGGCCTCCTTTTGGAGCATAACGTCCTCGCAGAAGGAGACCGCGGCTGCCCATCCCTCGCCACTCGCCAGCATTGCCGCGATTAATGCTGGCGGTGACAGGTTTCGTCCGATCTGTCCGACCAAGACTCGACGTTCGGACTCCCATGCAGGGCAGTCCTCCAGCGTGTGCTGGGCGGAGTCCCGGTCGGACCCGCAGTGGTGGCATTGTGCCGTGGCCTCCCGTCCAATTCGATTCAGATACTCACCGAAGCAACCGTGCCCGGTAAGCATCTGAGTCAATCGGTAGGTGACACAGTCGTTCCTCCCTACCCACGCTTCGAAGCTCGGCAGAACGGCTCCGACGGCGCGTTGGCTAGCACAGCCCTGGATTACAAGCCGTGCCTGCCACGCTCGCAAAGCCTGCGTATGCGCGTTCCGCCGTAGCATTCCGGGCTCATGATCCGGTGCGGCCTCCTCACCATTCCGACCGACAGAACGGACTTGGTCATAGACCATCGCGTCCATGTCGGCCAGAATGTCGAAGGGTGGATATCGAGCCAAAACCGTCGCCGCCTCAAACGAGATGGTACGATAACCCCGTACGACCCGTATGGCCATCAACCGCTGTAGGCTTCTGAGTAGAGCCTTGCAGCGGGAGGCACCCGCCAAGTCATTAGACCAGACGGGCGCCCCATAGAGGACCATGGATCGCACGACCCCCATATAGAGACGGCGAACTTCTTCCCGTGGTCCCCCGAGATTGGGCAGCAGGCGATGCAGTGCACCCGCTACCCCGCGCACTCGGGGGACTAATCGCACGAAATGCTCTTCGAAGCTCCACCGACTGTCCAGGATGAGGCCTAAGTACTTCATGTACCGGCCCACCTGGACTTCAGCGTCACCCACCCGGAGGCATGAGCTGGGTGGTTCCTGGCGCTTACGAAGGCCATGGAACCATATCGCCTCAGTTTTCTGAGGCGCCACCTTCAGACCCAGCTCATGAATCTTTCCCACGACACAAGCCACCCCATGCCCGGCGAGCCGAAGCACCTCGTCGAAGTGTGACCCTCTAGCCAGTATTAAAGTGTCATCAGCATAGCAGACAACACTAAGGCCAGAGGGCAGACTGGTGCGAAGGACCACATCATATGCGAGGTTCCACAACAAAGGGCCTAAAACAGAGCCTTGGGGAACCCCGCAATACACCTCTCTCCGATTTTCCACCCCGCCCCGACCGATAAACTTCACTGTCCTATCGCGCAGATAGGCCCCAATGACGGCCCGCAGGTAGAGCGGCACCTCATGAAATTCAAGGGCCGCCCTAATCGCCTGCCAGGGGAGGGTGCCGAACGCGTTAACGATATCAAGGCTAACCGCCAAAGCCACCCCCCCTGATCGGACTGCCGACTCCGACATGGAGCGAACGCACCTGATAGCGTCCACTGTCGAACGCCCCCGTCGGAATCCAAACTGGCAGTCCGACAGATCAGGGCCTACTCGCGACAGGTGCCCGCTGATACGATCGGAGATAACCCTCTCAAAGAGTTTCCCCGACTCGTTCAGCAGGCATATCGGTCGGAACGCAGAGGGAGAATCTGCAGTCCTACCTTCCTTTTTCAAGAGCACCAGTCTCGCTTCTTTCCAGCCGAGGGGGAAGACACCGAGGCTAAGACAATCTGTGAAAATCCGCCTCAGTTTGTCCCCCAGTACCGACAGAGCTATCACCAGCGCCCGACCTGGAATACCATCAGGTCCGGGCGCAGTGTTGCGGGAAGCCAGCCGCCGCACGACTCGGTCCAGCTCTCCCTCCGTCACCTCCCACTCGTCGGACCAGAGTTGCCGGTCCGATTGTAACGGAGAGATCAAGGGACTGTCCTGGACCCTTGGGAAGAGCGTGTCTACCACTCTTCCTAGGAACTCCGGGTCCAGGGTTTCCGTCAATGGAGGGACCCATGGTTTTAGCTTGCCCAGTACAATTTTGTACGGGCGCCCCCATGGGTCCCTATCCAGTCCCCCGATGAGTTCTTTCCAGGACCGAGCCTTGGCCTCAGCGATTGCATCGCTGAGAGCCTTTACAGCAGCGCCATATTCCCGCCGTGCTACGTCGATCTCCTCAGCTGTAGCTCGCCGTCTTCTCCGGGCTCGAAGATACGGGCGGCGCAATCTCGCGACCGTCGTTCTCAGCTGCGAGATCTCCACGCTCCACCAGTACGCCGAGCCCTTCCTGGCTGGCCTGACTCGGGGCATTGAGGCATTACATACGGACGCCATAATGTTCCCGAACCAAGCCGCCTGTTCTTCTGGATCGGGCGAAACCCTTTCCTCCAACCAATCCGCCACGTGGGATGCGGCAACGACCATCTCCCGGTCAAGCCGCTTGAGGGACCATCGTCGCGGAGGTTCTCTATCTTGACGTGGGCGGTCAGCGCGGCGGAGAGACACATCGAATACGATGTGCCGGTGGTCAGAAAGATTGACCACTTCCTCCGCCACCCGCCATCCCGACACCATGTGCACTGCAGAGGGAGTCGCCCATGACAAGTCGACAATCGACTCCCCCTGCCATCTCACACAGGTGCTAACTGAGCCCCGATTTAGAAGTCGGAGGTCCAGTCCAGCCGCCCACTCCAGGATAGTCTCTCCCCTCGCATCGTCCCGAGTGTCACCCCACTCCCTTGAGTGGGCGTTGAAGTCACCCAGGACAAATATCGGACGGGAGGCATAGCTGCGAATGCAGATTGCCAACCCGTGAAGGTATGCCTCATATTCAGCTAGGCCACGATTGGGAGAGAAGTAGCACCCCACCACCACTGTTAATCCCCACTCCACTGCTACGAAGCCAGCACCCTTTCTTAGGAGAGAGCAATGGAAGCCTTCCCCACCCGGCCAATAAATGGCCGCTGAGCCATCGACCGCCCCGAACCAACGCGGATGGTCCGGGACGGTATAGGGCTCTGCAATGACTGCCAGGGCAACCGACTGCTCCGCAAGTGTCTGGACCAATAGATCCTGCGCTGCGCGGCAGTGGTTGAGGTTGCCCTGGAGAATCCTTGCGTGTGGTGGGAATGTTAAGCCTCCATTGCCTCTCCCGTCGAGTTACCACTCGACACTGGCTGTTTGCCCGATTGGGCAAAGGCGGGGCGAGGTTGGACCTCTCCGCTCCTTTGCTGCTTCGGTGGGCAACAGCTCTTGCTACCCAGCCGATGGTTGGCGGGCCGGCCGTGGTCGCTGCACACCGGACACCTCGGTGCATTAGCTGCGCAGTCTCGGGCCTTATGACCCAATTCTCCGCAGCGGAAGCAGCGCCCACTCCTGTCAGGGTGACCTGAGCATTTTACCCTGACGTGTCCCATTTCAAGGCACTGGTAACATTGCAAGCGCCGAGGTGCCAACGCTTCGATACGGACCGATGCCCAGCCCACCTGCACGCGTTGGGCGGCTGCAGCTTGGCGTACTGCTGTAAGTGGGCCCCGGACCCAAACCGTTCCCAATCGGGCTGCGGTTCTGCGTATCTCCCCGACCTTGATGTCGGACGGGGAGCAGCCACCCGCTGCGGCTATTGCCTCCGCAACCTCGATGGCGGTGATGGATTCGTCCAAATCCATCACTCGCATTTCGGCCGTCTTGCACGGACGCATAAATCGTGCATCTGTGTCGCCCATGACCGCGCGCAAGCGTTCGGCCAAAGCGTCCGCTTTGGCAGCGCTGTCCGGCCCGGGGACCTCCAGTACTAGGCCCCCTGTGACTGCCTTTCGCTGACGGACCCCGCCCGTAATGCCAAGCTCCGCCAGCTTAATACGGGCTTTTGCGGCCTGCATTACTTCCGCCAGTGAGGTACTGGATCCCGGAGGCA